GAGGCAGGAGACTCGCTTGAGCCCAGGAGTTGGAGGTTGCTGTGAGCTGTGATGCCACGGCACTCTACCCAGAGGGACAGCTTGAGGCTCTGTGTAAAAAAAAAAAAAGAAAGCAAAAAGGCAAAGCTAGGCTGGTGTACTCCCAGTTACTCAGAAGGTTGATCCACTGTGAGACCAGTGTGGGCAACATAGTAAGACCTTCTCTTTAAAAAACTGAAAAGACAGTCCACAGAATGAATGAAAATATTTTATAGCATTTGTAAATTAGATATCTGAAGGGGGACTTGTATCCAAAATATATAAAGAACTTTGAAAGTTCAACAGTAATAATTTTTAAAAGCCTAATTTAAAAATGGGCCAAGGATTTGAACAGATATAAAAAGGTATGCGTATAGCAGATACACACATGAAAAGATTCTTATTAGTCATTAGGGAAATGCAAGTCAAAACTACAATCAATGAGAGTCCATGTCACACCCACTAAGGATGGCTGAGATAAAAGGGAAGTTTTCGCTAGATGTAGAGAAAATAGAATTCTTATTTATTGGGAATGTAAAATGGTACAGCCATTGTGGAAAACAGTTTGGCAGTTCTTCAGAATGCTTCAATATAAAGTTTATGGCCAAGCCTTTGCACTCCTAGAAATATATCCTAAAGAAATGAAAACAATGCCCACACAAAATTTGTACATGAATGTTCATAGCCCACAAGTGGTAATAACCTGTATGTTCATCATCTGATGAATGCATCAACAGAAAGTGGTATATCCCTGCCATGGAGCATTATTCAGACATCAAAAGGAATAAGTACTTCCATATACTCTGACATGAACTTGAAAACATATTAAGTAGAAAAAGCCAGACAGAAAAGGCCACATATTGCATGAAGGGTTTCATTCATATGAAATGTCTAAAACAGGCAGATCTCGTAAGACTGAAAGGAGGCTAGTGGTTGCCACGGCTGGGGAAAGTGAAGAGGGGGAATGTCTCTTAATGAGTGGGGGGTGTATTTTTGAGATAAACGTTTTCTGGAATTACTGGTAATGATTGCAAAACCTTGTGACTATTAGAAACCATGGACATGTACACTGAATTTTATATGTGGATTATGTCTCATTAAAGGTCTTATTTTAAAAAAATCAAAAAACAAAAACTTCCTTTCTAAGTCTCCCTCTGTTTATATTGATCCAGGGCCTGATCTATTGTCCTCGTGTTTTTGAGCTCTTGAAATGTATTTGTCTTTTTACACAAGCCCAACGGAGGGCATTTTATTTCTAATTGTCTTAACCTCTCAAATTACTTTTTTTTTTTTTTACAGTATAAACTGAGAGGACAGGTTCAGTGTAAAGAAAGGTAATTGCTTATAAAAGATAGAGTGAATATGTAGAAGTGACAGCTGTAATAAAATTCTAAGGTTTGAGACATCTTGAGTTAGAATATAATAATTGTCTCATAATAAAAATGGGTTATACAGAATTTGAGTTCTGTATCTTTAAGCAAAAGTGATATGGAATTTCTTTAAGTCAGCATAGGTAATCATGATTTGTCCTTAAGGAATTTATTTCAGAGCATTTATTTGTACTCTTCTGAAACTGGTCAAGGCATTATGGATCATTAAAGTTTGCTCATAAAATTAACTGCAAACATAGTTATTTTTTCTTCTTCTTCTTCTTCTTTTTTTTTAGACATAGTCTCACTCTGTTGTTCAGGTTAGAGTACCATGGTGGCAGCCTAGCTCACAGCACCTCAAACTCCTGGGTTCAAGTGATCCTCCTGCCCCAGGCTCCCAAATAGGTAGAACTATAGGTATCTATTAACACTGCCCAGCTAATCTATTTTTTGCAGAGATAGGGTCTTGCTCTTGCTCAGACTAGTCTAGAACTCCTGAACTCAAGTAATCCTCCTGCCTTGGCTTCCCAGAGTGCTAGGATTATAGGTGTGAGCCGCCGTGCCTGGCCACAGGCATTTTCAAAAGATCCTAAGTTTGCTTTCAGAATGTCAGGTCATATTTATCTAGTTTCATATGTTCACTCTCATGCTGACAACCCAAAGCACATTCCTGTCCTCCCTCTTTCTCATGTAAAATGTTAAGGTTTGAAGAAGGAAAACATCTTTAGAGTAACCAAAAACTTAGAGTATCATTTTTATTAATTATTTCTTAGGTTTTATATATATGGAGGCAACGGTGTTTACAGTAGGAATGTCTGAGAGAAACTGCAGATGAGGTCTCTATCTCCTGAGAAAGGATTGTGGCCTTTAACAATAATTGGGCCACCTACCCTTTGCACACACTTTAGAGAAATACTAGGGACAAAGCCAGAGTATAAAATACTCATAGTGAATCCAGTTGCCCAGAAGCAGAAGCTGGCAAGATAGAAGATGCATCTGGATTTGATTAGGGACAGTAATTGGAATGATTTAAAAAGGGATGGATTGGGCAGAGGACACTTCATTCTAGAGTAGCTTTGCAGTATGAGGCGGGGTTCCCTTAGCAGCCATGCCTGATGGATATCTGTTTTGGTCAAAAAGGGCCATATGAGAGGAGTCCAAATATTTGGGGGTAGAGGTTACTTTCTTTGGTTCAGAGAAGCGCTCAATGTATCCTAAGGAAGTTTACCCTCTGCTAGGCTAGACTAGGAACTCTTATAGGGAAGTAGAAATTCCTCTCTCTGCTTAATTCTTTCCATTGATCAAACTCCTCTTGGATCAGTGAGTGGACTTGAGTCTTGTAAAGGAACCAATCCATTCCATATTTATCATTCAGAACAGTAATAAACCCCCTTACCCACTAGTAGACACAAAGCCAGACGTGGCTGTTGCTGATTGTATGAAGGTGAAAAATAGTTAAGGGATTCTGTTCTGAAGTAACAGAGTATAATGCAGAACGTTAACTGTGTTCAGGGAAAACTCATTTATTGCATGAACATGTCAGAATGCTAAAACTAGTTTCCGTGAAGGCAAATGGCAAAGAAAGAACAGAAATCAACATTAAAATCATTTTATTGTATTTTTGAGGATATAGTGTATGATACTTCTTTCTCCAAAGTGCACAATTGATAAATATGATAACTTTTCTTAGAAATGTACGTGACTATTTATTGTCTTTAATGCACTCACCTTTTAATAAGAAAAAGAGAAATTAGGCATTCCTAGGAGTTCCGAGAATTATAAAAACCCTAATACGATGGTTGTTAAAGAGAACTTCTTCTTTAGTAGGGAGTTGTCTACAAGATACTTATGAGAGAAAAACTGCTATTTAGGATTTTTGGCCTTCAAAGTTGTGTAGGTTGATCTGTCTCTGAGCTATTAATTTGAAAGAATTCATCAGGAGCATTTCTTTTTCTCCTGTGAAACTATTGAATCTGTTATGACCTAAATAAAATCTGAGTAAAGACTATAAGGTCTGTGTTGACTATATCTCTTGTTTTATTTATCTGCTTTCTTTTCTTCAAGAAACTACAGTGACAGTGAAACTGAAGGAGAGATTTTTAATTCCTTAGTGCAGTATTTTGGTGATAATTTGGGGCGAAAAGTTAAAGCTATGCCATTAGTTGAAGAAACATCTTTACTTGAAGATTCATCAGTGACTTTGCCTGTGGTAATAATAGGTAAGTTACTGCAATTTTATCTCTTCAGATTAGAGTGTGACCCTTACCTCTTTTATAAATCTACAGTTAGATCATGCAAGTTTTTAAGATTGTATTAAAAAGTATTTTTAGATTGTTTACTGAAATATTTGCTAAAATATTACATAAACCTTGATGGTATAAAATAATGTTAAAATATTTGCTAAAACAATAAATAACCAAATCATTGGACTGTGTAACTGGTTTATCTGATGTTAGAGTCAGTGTGCAGTTATCTTTTCATGGAAGGGCTGATATTAGTACATTATTTGAAAATGATTGCCTATCATTTGTGTTAACTATATGACAATTTTGTGGTAGTGGTGATAACAAATACCATTAGAGCTTTGTACAAAGAAATCTGTATTACTGGATTATACCTTACAACTCTGTAGCCTTCTGATGTTAGTAGGGTAGTTACAGACAGAGAAACTGACTCAGAAATTGGGTGACTTTGCTCAAGCAGCAATGACATTATAGTACTCGCTGCAATTTAGCTGTGACATTACTATTTGAGAGCCTTTGTACCACCTCAGCAGATAGGCATATAAGATATTAAAAATTAAACTATTAATAAAACCTAATTCAGAATTAAACATTTTAAATTTTTATTGCATGCATTTAATTACTTGTCATTTGTATTTTCCGTCTAATACAGAAACTCAAGGAAGCCATATAAATACTATAGGGTACAGCTAAGCCAAAAGAGAGAATTATGGGATAGAGATGCCATTCAGAGCATTTGGCTTCCTAAATTTCTTTGATAGCTTGTATCAAAGTTATGAAGAAAGAAAATTCCTGTCCTTTGACTGACATATGCTCGCGTATGCCATAATGCCCTGATGAAAGGAAGGAAAGGGGGGGGAGCAGGGTTGTTGTTCTGCATTCTCTAGGGCATATGATAGTTTTTGCAGCAGGTCCCGTCCAAGATAGATGTAAGGGACCATTCATTGTCTTTCATTTCCCTATGTCTAAGTCTGGTTTTCTGCCCCGGATGTCTTAGAATGAGTAAAGAAAAACTATCTTTTTAGGCTAACTAGGCTATGGATGGTCAGAAAAAGAACACATACCTTCATCTGCATCTGCCCATCGCACTCCTTCTAAAACAATCTATCCCTGCCTCAGCTAGCCCATAGGTGGCTTAACCTAATGATAGATCAAGAGCTAATTTCCCTAATACATACATTGGTTTTCTGTTGCTGTTGTAAACAAATTATGATAAATCTAGAGGCATTAAACAATATCAGTGCGTTATCTTTTCTATAGGTCAGAAATTCAACATGGGTGTTACTGGGCTAAAATCAGGATATTGACAGAGCTTTCTGGAGGCTATAGGGAAGAGTATTGCCTTGCTTTTAAAAATTGCTAGAGAGTATTCACATTTCTTGGCTTCTGGCTCCCTTCTACATCTTCAAAACCAGCAATGTTGTAACTGTGAAAGAAGGTTAAGAAAGAAACATCTCCCTCTCACCAGAGTGGGGAAAAGTTCTGTTTGTGAGGACTCGTGATTAGGTAGGGTCCATGTGGATAGGCCAGAATATCTTCATCTTGATACTGGAATTTCATCTTCTCTCCTGGCTGGCTTGCCAAATCTGATACCAGTGTTTCAGGTTCTTGGCCTAGGTGATTTGAAGAATAAATTTGTGGACCACAGATCAGTGGTAAGACAGGATTTATTTACAGAAAAGAATACAAAAACACTAAAGCTCCTGGTAAGGAGAGAAAACCCAAGTCAGGAGAGAAAAGCTCTCTCTGTCCCCGTCTCTCTCCCCGAGCTCTTTGTCTAGGGGTATATATAGGTGCATGGGTTCCTTCTATATGAGGCCAGGAAATGAATGGACACAGTTTCTTCCATTGGGGCAAGGTGAATGAATGTATTAATGAATGGAGACAGTCCGTCCACTGAATTGAGGCCTAGGAAGCTTACATGAAATTAACCTAGGCATAGGAAATGGGGTTCCTTATTCAGTCATAAATAAGTGCAAAGGGAAGGAGACACCAAGGCACCTGTGTCTCCGCAGCAGTTGTCTGGCCCCTTTGGCTATTGGAGCCTTCGGTGGGAGTAGGAGGCCCCCCCCTTGCCTACCCTTTAGCCTGCTGGTTCTGCTGCTACACCACCGAGGCAGAGGCGGCAGGTCCTCCAGTTCAGCTCAGCTGAGCTGGCTGGGGTGCCACCTGTACTGTATCATTGTCAAGGTCCTTAATCACATATACAATGTCTTTTTGCTGTACAAGATCATGGCAGGTTCCGGGGTTTAGGACTGGAACATCTTGCTGTGAACTGCCGGTTGTATTCTTTGCCTGTTGTCTTTTGAATATTGTACCTTTTTGTTTATAGGAACTTAGCTGTTTGACTCAGATCCTAACTCCCCTTGTTCATCATTTATTTATTTATTATATTAATAGACTGTATCTTTCAAAACAGTTTAGGTTTACAGAGAAATTGAGCATAAAACACAAAAGAGTTCCCATATACTCTTCCTCTCCCCCTCTGGTTTCCCCTGTTCCTAACCTTCACATCTTGCACTGGTGTGATACGTTTCTTACAGTTGATGAACCAGTTGGTATATTATTATTAACTAAAAGCTGTAGTTTAGGGTTTATTCTTTGTGATATACAGCTTTGTACATTTTGTTGAGTATATAGTCTCATGTATCCACCATTATGGTATCATATAAAATAGTTTCACTGCTCTAAGAGTCTATATTCCACCTATGGGCACCTTCCTTCAACCCCTAGCAACCACTTAATCTTTCTACTATCTTTATAGTTTTGTCTTTTGCAGAATGTCATACAAGAGTCATCTAGATGTAACCTTTCAGACTGACTTCTTTCATTTACCAGTATACATTTTGGTTCCTCTGTGTCTCGAGAGCTCATCTCCTTTTATCGTTGAACAATATTCCATTGTGTGTATGTACCAATTTGCTTATCCATTCACCTTTTGAAGGATATCTTGAGTGCTTCCAAGTTTTGACAGTTACAAATAAGGTTGTTATAAACATCGTATGTTTTCTGCACAAACATAAATTTTCAGTTCATTTGAACAAATTCCCAGGTGTATAATTGCTGGGTCACACAGTAAGACCTTGTTTAGCTTTGTAAGAAACATTGAACTGTTTTTAACTGTGGCTAGATAATTTTGCATTCCCAGTAGCAGTAAGTGAGAATTCCTACTGTTGCACATCCCTCTTAGAATTTGATGGGATCTGTGTTTTGGATTCTAATAGAGGTGGATTGGTATCTCATTATTTTAATTTGCAGTTCCATAATGATGCAATTCCATATGATGCAAGAGTTCTCTGTTTATTTTAGGTGGTTTGTAGTATTTTCTTTCAGTGTATGACTTGTCTTTTCATTCTTGTAGTATCTTTTGCAGAAAAGAAGTTTTTAATTTTAATGATGTCCCACTTGTGAATTTATTTTTTCATGTATTCTGCTTTTGGTATTGTATCTAAAAACTCATTATTATCATCATCATCATTATTAGTAGTAGTAGTAGTAGTATTTTGGGCTGGGGCTGGGTTTGAACTTGCCACCTCTGGTATATGGAACCAGCGCCCTCTTTCTTGAGCCACAGGCGCCGCCCAAAACTCATTATTATTAAACCTAGATTTTCTCCTAAGTTATCAAAAAAGACTTGAAATTGGATAGGATCCAGTCGTCTGCCTTTGTTATCTTTAATACTGTGTTAGTTGTTCTAGGTCTTTTTGCCTTTGCATATAAACTTTAAAATCAGTTTGCCAATAGCCACGTACTAACTTGATGGGATTTTTTTTATTGGGATTGTGTTGAATCTATAGCTCAAGTTGGGAAGAATTGATATCTCAACAATACTGAGTCTTCTTGTACATAAACATGGAATATCTTTCCATGTATGTACATTTTTTTTTAATTTCTTTAACATTTTGTGGTTTTCTTCATAGAGATCTTACATGTATTTTGTTAGGTTTATACCTTAGGTTTTTTTTTTTGGTGTAGATGCAAGTTCTGTCGTATTTTTAATTTCAGATCAAACTTTTTCATTGCTGATATATAGGAAAGCAATTGACTTTTATGTATTGACCTGTACTCTGCAACCTTGCTGTAATTGCTTTTTAGTTCTAATTACAGATTTTTGACATAGATGATCATGCATTTATAAACAAAGATGGTTTTATTTCTTCCTTTCCAATCTGTGCATTTTTTTCCCCTTGTCTTACTGCGTTAGCTAGGACTTTCATTATGGTGTTGAGTAGGATTAGTGGGAGGGACAACCCTGTCTTTTTTTCCATCTTAGAAAGAAAGGGTGTCTCATTAAGTATTTAATACTAGCTATAGGTTTTTCATGAATGTTCTTTATTATGTTGAGGAAGTTCCTCTCTATTCCAAATTTTTTGAGAGTTTTTTTTTTTTTGAAATTACGAATCAGTGTTATTTTTGTCAAATGCTTTTTCTGCATTTGTTAATACTAGCATGTGATTTTTCTTCATTAATTTTATCTTTCATTTTGATTCAGACAAACCAGCTTTTTGCTTCAGATCCCAACTCCTGCTATTTGTCATTTTTTTTTTTATTTTTATGAAGCCAGATGGTTTATTTTCCCTTTTGTCTTTTTTTTTTTTTTTTAATCAAAACAAAGTCTGACTCTTTTGTCCCAGGCTAGAGTGCCATGGTGGCCTCCTACCTTCATGGCAACCTCAAATTCCTGGGTTCGAGCTATCCTCCTGCATCAGCCACTCCTGACTAGCTGGGCCCTGCCACAATGCTTGGCTAATTTTTCTGTTTTTACTAGAGATGGAGTCTCACTCTTGTTTAGGCTGATCGCCAACTCCTGAGCTCAGGTGGTCCTTCTGCCTCAGCCTCCCATAGTATTACAGTATTATAGTAATTATAGGCGTGAGCTAACGTGCCTGGCCCCTTCTGTCTTTTGATGATTACCCCTTTCCACCTTTTTTTTAAACAGGAAATGGACCCTCAGGAATATGCCTTTCTTATATGTTATCAGGCTACAGACCATATTTATCATCAGAAGCAATACACCCAAATACAATCTTACATAATAAATTAGAAGAAGCAAGACATCTTTCCATTGTTGATCAGGTATTATTTCTTACATGTCAGTCTTTAAAAAAATATTTTTAATGAAATGAGATTAGTTTTTACTTATGTAAGTATTATTTCTTAGATAGAAATGTTATAATACTTTCTCTTTTATATTTTAGATTCATAAATATATTGTGCTGAGTTATTTCTATTTATATTGAATTTATTAGAACAGAATTTCTCAAGTTATTTCCTGATGCACTTTTAGTAGGTCCTCTAACACTAAAAAAATGGGAGGAATTGCTTTTATTAGTAGAGTATCTTGGTAGACATTAGCATATTTAGGGTATCTTCAAGTTTTGCATTATAAGAATCTGGTTAGCTTTTCCTGTATTTATTTGATCAAAGCATCTATTAAGATTTCAAGAATATCAGTGTTCTATAGCTAGAATATTTGGCAAATTCTGAATTAGAATAATGCCTTCACCCTCGTTAAAATCACTGTTTTGGCTTTTTTCAAACTCTATCTCCCTTTTTTTTTCCATTCAGGACTTAGAATACTTGTCTGAGGGCCTTGAGGGCCGATCATCCAATCCAGTTGCGGTACTTTTTGACACACTTCTTCATCCAGATGCTGACTTTGGGTATGATTATCCATCTGTTCTGCACTGGAAATTAGAACAACATCATTATATCCCTCACTTAGTTCTTGGTAAAGGTCCACCTGGTGGGGCTTGGCATGTGAGTATATATTTTTTAACATTTTAACATAGGTGAAATTATATTTCATATTGATAAGACTATCTTGCTTCTTAAGCACACTGGTAATATAGAGTTCTCACATTTTTATCAGAGAGGAATTTTAATGCTGTTCAATTGATAAATTTAGGTTAATTACTAATAGAAGCTAATTAAGCCAAATTGCATTACTTATATATTCTTAGAATAAACATTTCTCCATATTATAAGAATTACATAGGAAACATTTCAGGAATGTTTTACATAATAAATGGTTCAAAATTGATTCATTTTAGAGTTTACAAAATCTCATGTAGTATTTCAAACCAGTATTTGTTTTTTTTTTTTTTTTTTGAGACTGAGCTTCAAGCTATCCC